GTCCGTGCAGTGTGTTCATCGGCTTCTTTGCGTACTGCATGACGGTCACTTTCTTCGTGGGAGGCGAGGCGCCGGGAGAGCAGGAGGAAGACCCCTTTACACCTGAGTGGGCCGTGGATATGCTGGGATTTTGTAAGCAAGCTTCAGCAGGGGGGACAAACAGGGAGAATAGAAGTGTTTGCATGCTGTTTCCCTCGCAGATAGCATTATTCTGATATGGGTGCTGATTTACTTCATGCACAAGTATGCATGTGTGTGTGAGTTGAGACAAGCAGGGGATCCTGTATGTGCATTGTTCTTGGTGTCTTCAGCTTCCTTTGTGGTCTTCACCTGCAGCACATCCTTCGCCAAATCGCCGAGGAAAACAAGCAGTCATTGCGCGAGGCCGACTGGTCGCGGTTGGAGGATCCATGCCATTGGGTTACAAAGATCGCGCTTCACTTCAGGAAGAGTGCGAAGAAGTCCTTCAAAATGCGGACGGTCGAGCAGCCGCGAGAAAGCGATGAGACCGAGCCATTTTATGAGTTCGATCCTGGACATCGAGATGCCGTCCTTGCAAAGCGCTCTGGCTACATCAGATCAGCGGACCTACAATCGCTGGCTCACCAGCTGCGTCATGAGCGGCCGCCTCTTCAGCTATGCTTTAGCGGTCGTGTCATGGTGGGCACATTCATCACAGAGGGAACAGTACTGGTAAGTGAATGACTATGTGCTTTGCTCATCGCTCTACTGCCCTTACTTGATATGATGCACGTAGGCGTGAATGCGAGTGCATCCGGAGAGCGAGAGTTGAGTGCGAGTCCAGCCGAGATGGCCACTGGTAAGCACCATGTGAGCGACGAGCAGCTGCGTCGAGTGACAAGGATGGTGAATCGGGCCCTCCGTGTGAGTACGGAAGACCACGGTGGCGAAAACATCTCATTCGGACGTGCGAGACGGACTGGCCGACAGAGAGACCAGACAGATGAAAGACAGCACACGGCTGGCTACGTGGCTTGTCTTCTGCCTTCCTGATTGATGTGTGTTGCGATGCGGTCAGTTCGTGAGATTACGGAGATTGCGGTCCGTGTCACGACTTCATCAGTCAACGACCCACACGCAGCGGTCGTGCCATCGCTCGCATCAGCGAGCTCTTCAAGGACTTCGTACGCAACAAGCCCATCGTCACTTCATCAGAATCGGCGGCGTAAGTGCGCCCATGCGAGAAGAGCAGAGACGACATGCACTGTCTGTGCTTTCTGTCTATAAATCTTGTGCGTGCATGTGTGTGTGTGTGTATGCTTAGAAACTCTACGTCACAATGCGCTCATGGACGTTCGAAGAACTACTCGCCATGTCCATGCACAGCCTGCGATTCTAGTGCCAGAAAGACCTGTTCGTCACGATGCGCCTGATCGACATGCTTGCTGATCTCGGCTTCATTTGCATTCAAGGCAAGAATGGGCGGATTGCTACGCCCACCGGCTCATCACTAGCAAGCCCAGACGGGTTCAAAAAGCGGCTGTCCATCGTCAGGACTCATGTCAATGAGCTCACCAAAGATGCGCGCAGCCATTACAATAATGAGAACAGCACCGAAAGAAGGGAGATTGATCGAGCTCGCGATCGGGCGCGGGATCTCATGAGGGACGAACAGTCAAGCTCAACGATAGCACATGCTAGGGTCCTGTCCATGTCAACAAGAAGGGTTTTGTCCTTTGCATAAATGGCGTGTGTTTCCCACGGGTTTCTGTCGGTGCTCTCGTTTTGACACATTGTGTGTCTTTTTTCCATCTGTCTGAATGGGCATCCAATCGGGAGCCTTGGTGCTTGCTCGCTTGCTTGTGAAGTGCAGGTTGTGTCTGTCTGTGTGTCTGTGTTTTGGCGACCTCATGTGTGTGTATACATGTGTGGGCGGGCTGCCGTTCCTCGACTTGAGTACGCGTCGTTCAATCAGTAAGACAGTGTGTGAGGTGTCGCGTCATGTCG